TTTGATTTGGATTGTTGATATTTAGGGATTTTCCCTAATCTCTCTAATATTGAGTATTGTTTAGCATATTTGTCTAATCGGAAACTCAGTCTATGTTCATCACTCTTAATGAATGGCTTTTCTTTAATTTTTCAGATTTTCAAGCAATCATTAGTCTGAGAAGCTTTCTTGGGCTAATTTCTTATTTTTGAATAGTTTCTACTGAATTTTTGAGCTCGTATGTCATGTATCATTTTTTATATAAAACTGTTCCTCTTCAATAGTGTTTATCATCTCATTTCAAAATACATATGGACTACTTACTGCCATGTCTTAAGTATAGTAAAATTCCTTTGACTTAGAGAAACTGTTGCGTAGATTATACCTCTTTTTATTTATAAAAGTCTTTCAACTGTTTACAGGGAGATAAGTGGACTAAAATCAGAAATAGACCTTCAATTCGTGATGACATTATCCCTAAATTTAAACAGTTTTAGCGAGGTATATATACTACAACTGAATATTTCTTTGGGTTTCTCCAATATGCATAATGTATTTATTGTATTTAATTTGTTTATCGTTAATGATATAGGTACATTGGTAATTGTAAGGTTTTTATACCCTAGTTATTGTGTTACAAATAGCTATAATCACCTAAGATACAAATTTAAGATAACCCTTGTATTGTACTAATTATTCTTTTATGGCAGGATTGGTTTATTATGAGGAAGAAGATAAGATGTTAGTTTGTTTTCACCTAATTATAATGTTATGATATTTATTTCGAGGCTACCCTAGCACAGTTCATCAACACTAATGCTTAGTAATCAATGTTGTTTTTGTTGGAGCATTTCATGCAGATATTTTAAGCTACTCTCAATGCACCCATTGAGTTTGTGTTTATTGAATAATATATTTCTGTACTTTTTAGTCTTGGATTGTTTTTCCTATCTCTTATCATTAATGTATCTTTTGGCCTCCTGGTTGCAGGTAGAAAGGTAACTTCCCTTATAAGAACTTGTATGTGATATGTTGCAAGCTTTGGGAGCTAAATACAGTTCATGATTTTGGGAGCTATATACAGTTCATGATTTTCTAATTGATAAATACAACCTTATCAGATGTGGTAACCATTCACTTACATGACATATTGTTGAGAGAATCTCATGTTTGTGCTTCCACTGTATTGCTTGAGTTGATCTGATTGCCCTTCTGAGCATATCAAGCCATGACAATTATTTATTTTAATTTTTTGCCAGATTTCAAGAAAGTTCAGCAGTGTCATATTGAAGGAAAGATGGATTATGATGATACTCCGTACTGTCTATTTCCTACATGTTAGAGGAGTAGTTATCATAGGATTCATAGCTATGGTCATCCGTATTTGTAAAAAAATAATTATAGTTATGTCATCATTGTATTTTTAATATGGATGTGTATTTTTGTTACATGCCTAGTTGCTATCTAAAATAACATTGGATTCATAATTCTGTATCTTTATCCAACATTAAAATAAGGACTCTACCCCTAAAATAACGTCGACGTTTTTTTTAAAACTCAAACATATAACGTCGGTTGCAATATATAACCACCATTGTACAATTTATTAATTTTCATCAAAATTAATCAAAGTCGGTTTTCGATAGAAACAGGCGTGGTATGATATTTTGAAAACATGACTACTTATAACGTCGGTTTTACACAATACCCGTCGTAGTATGTCTTTTTTCAATTTTTATAAATTACTTTTAACGTCGGTTTTAAAACCGACGTTATATGTCTTCACTTATAACGTCTCCTACTTAGACGTCATTCCAAAACCGACGTTAAAAGGTAAAATTAACCAACGTTGAAGGTCTGTTTCCTAATAGTGTCGAATGTGACCCCCGTATCAAGAGTTGGAAAAGTGATACATAAGGGTTGTTGATTTAGATTCGGAGCCGTGAGCTTCCTCAGCGTTCTTGTTTCCAGAGCCATGTGGAGGGACTCTTCGGATTCGCTAGAATGAGAACTAGCACTTGATGATTCCTCCGAAGAAGTATTCGGTAATAGATTCCTGAACCTCTCGAAAGCTTGTTCTGTTTCGGGTTTTGTTTGGTAGGTGATTTGGTTTATAGATCAGTGTTTAACCATATACTCAAACAAAACTCAGCCAAAATAGAAATCTTTATATATATATATATTTTTTTATTTTTCTTGAAATAAAATAAAAAGAAAAATTAATTGCCTTTCCCCAGCAACGGCGCCAAATTTGACGAGCACTTTGTCACGGTGCATCAAAATAATTTCAATATTAAACACTTATACGTAGTATAGCGTAGTAGAGTTCGTATCCACAGGAAAAGGAATGATTCTCTTTTTATGAAACTAGTAATTAAAAAGGGGGGTTTTGGTTTTGAGTGATTTAATTTAATTAAGAAACTAAGATGAACAACCTATATGAGATTTAATTCAAAGATAAAAAGGATTTGGCATTGCTACTTTCCACTTGTTGATATACTTTAGTCGATCATTGTTATATCTATAACTTATTCCCTCTCGAATACTCAATCGGGGATTATATCCACTTCATCGAGGGTAGTTATTAACAGCGACCGTTCATTAATAACCCTTACTATTAATCAAATATAGAACAACGCCTTATACCGATTTAATAGTAGCATTTAATCTTTCTAACTCCTTGATGAAATCAATTGAAATTGATAACCTCAACACAACGGTTTCGGTTTAACCAACAAAATTAATCCCTCTTAAGTTTATTAACCACGACCGTGCATTAATAAACCGAAGTTACTTACTTGTGAAACCAATAACGATTAACCATCGGTTCGTTGATCGTTTCTAGTAATAATTAATATATGAAACAAAACTAGTTGATCCTTTAAGTAATGTTCAAAATATAAAATGAGATATGAGTAGGAATCAATTAATATTCAAGGAAGAATATTATTAAAGAAGATGAATCCTACTATAATTAATATCAAGATGTTAACTAATTGTCATCTTAGCAACACTCCCCAACATTAATATAGAGGAAGAAAATACCATTCTAACTAATGTCGAGATGTTAACTAATTATCATCTTAGCAACACTCCCCAACATTAATATAGAGATGATATTAAGGAAAGAGCTATTAATTAATATTCAAGGAAAGAAGTTAAGAAAATAACTCACAACTTTAATAATCAACAAGCTTCAAGAGCAACACCAAGAATGGAAGTTTAGCTCCTCATTTGGAGACTAAACATAGCTAAAAAAATATAAAGAAATGCTATTCTAAACTGAGCTTAGGAGTATGGAAGAAGGGATGCTTTTTTATGAAGAAAAAGTGTGCTATTTATAGGTGTTTTTCAACACCTTTGGCCGGGTACCCGACCGGGTCAAGTACTCACCCGACCGGGTCCGGTCAAAATCAGATATTTCCCCACGTTCTGGTGATCTTTGCACACCGGATTGTCCCCGGTCACTTCTCGCCCGACCGGGTGAGGTATGGGGCTCCACCAGGCCCAGCTGTTTCCTCAGTGCTTCGGTTTTCAAATCAGACTCGACCGGGTGCAATTTCCTACCTGGTCGGGTATTTGCTCCTGGACAGTTAAAATTCCTTTTTCTTCACTTCAACATCCTCCTTTCCAACATCCTAATTCCTAATTCTACTTTAAAACTTACAAATGAGAACTAAAATACAATTACAACTAAAATCACACAAATATTTACAAACCAAATAAAACGTCAAACAATCATCATCAATGAAACATAAAAACATACAATTATGCACTACTAATTAGTGTGCATCAGACACAAACTACGAACTAAAGTAATTGTCTAACTGAAACAATATAACAATTGATATGAAAATAACAATTATGGTAGCCGAATTGCATCTTGAAACACCAACTTCCAATCCCGTGGTAGTGGTTTAAGAGGAGAACGGCCCATTAGCACCGCCATAGATTACATGCATGCGATTCACTATCATTTTCTACATTAAGCATTTTTCTTATTTAATAAAATATTAGTTGCAACAATTTGATATTTGTGTTATTCATAAATTTTAGTCTAATTTAGGAAACAAATTTGACCTTACTGTAGAGTACACTGTTTGGCACTGTTTGGCACTGTTTTGCACTGTTTGGTGTAGATTTATTTGCCAAATAAGGTAAATAAGGAACTGTAAAGTTTAATATGAGACGACTCAAAAAAGAAAGTGTAAAGTTAATTAAGGACCAGAGGGAGTATAAATTAACGACATATATAAATATATGTATCATATAAAAAAGGAATATATAAAGTGCGTATATATATATACACACGCACACACACAAATATTTGTGTCACGAATTCCTTGACAAGGATGACGTCCGTCCACCTTCATTTGGGGGTGCTTCCGGATGGGAAATTTTTATAACATTTTGTGAGCGTGCTCTGCATGAAGTGCAGATTACAGCTACCAAATTTCAATTTACAATTCAATTGAGAGGTCAGTTACAGAAATCATTGAAAAACATTGTGTGTTTATTTTGGCACAATATTTTTGGCATAATATTTTTCAATAATTTATTTAACTGAATATTCTTATTCAGTTTTAAGATGAAATTTGATAGACATAATTTATACGTTATGCAAAAAAAATCATAAAAATTTCAACCGAAAGCACCTCGAAAGGAGGTGGCTTGACGGCATTAGCAATGTAGTTAGGAATTTCGTGACCTGAAAATTACTCTCTATATGTATGACCCATATACACATTTACATGTACAAGTACATATACGATACATGCATATGTAAAGGTGCAGATCAATTAAGAATAGTGATTTCACTTCAGAAATGCTGGATATTCACTTCTAGTGTTCGCCGATTTACTTGTGTTTCTATGCAAGTAACTGTGCGAACAAAATGTAAGTGGGTTTTTCTTCATATTATCATTTTTTAACTTTTAGAGGAGTTACCTGTTTAAATCATTCTCATTTCTTCCCTTTTGAAATGATCCATAAACTCAAATTCTACATACACATCTATACGTATATGTGCATAGATGTATATATGTATATATACAAACATTGTTCTAAGGAAAAGTTTGATTATTAGCAGTGATGATCATATTGGCAACATTCGAAAAAGAAACCGAACACTTATTGAGTTACAAATTCTCTCAAACCATGAAATGATTTTCAGCAATGAAGACAACAAACAACTGCCGACGACCATAACAATGGAAGATTGTAGTAGTCGCCGATCTTGAAATACAACAAATTAATCAACCACGTACAAGCTAAGAAACACTCACAGTTGAGTTTAATTTAGAGACTTATAATAATAATGATAAACATAAGATCGATGATTATGTGGGTAATCAACCGACCATAAACCTCTGAATATTATAATTATGCTGAAATCAATAGTGAGATACACCCAAATTTGCAGGAGCCAGAAACCCTTCTTTCATCAGAACATCATTATCCCCTTCCTAAAACGAGATTATTAAAGGAAGTAATGAAAGATCAAGATTAGGGTTTTATGGAATGAAGAGAAAAGATGCTAGGGTTTGAGGAGAGACAGAAAGAGAAAGAGTAGCTACCTGCTGTTGGCATGCGTTGGGTTTATTCACGGGTTGATCAGGCATGAGTCCAAAATGAATGTGAGGGAAGTGGGCCCACTGGACAGCATGAAAGAATTTATTGTGAATTAAAATGCAGTATTTAATACACTCAGCAAGTACACATATCAATCAAATCAAAAGAAGCCCTAGTTAGGTGAAGCCAGTGGATCCAACCAGACCCAAACCCGACCCAGTCCAATCCAAACACAATTAGTCACATCAGAGAAACAAAGATGAGAATTTATTTGTGGGATCTTATTGTAATAATTACTGCTTACATTCTTTGCAGCTGCACTGAAGGCCTCCCTGTGGCTAATATCAGGGTTTCCTGCTTTGATACGCTGGATCTCATCCCTGCACCGCCCTTCGATAAGTCATTTCACTCCTTTGTCCCTTGTGTTTTCTCATGCTTTCCATATTTATATTCCACTCTTTTCTCCATTTCTTTCTTATTTTTAGAGCCCACAAGGGTTCTTTTGTTTTTATATTATTAACCGACATAAATTATTACAGAAGAAAAACATGTTTATATACATCTTTGCTATATACATTGCCTAAAACATGCCTCCTGATTATCTTAGTCAGTAAAGATAATTTTTGGACACTAATTTTAAACACTATAGTAGTATAAAAATTTACGTATGGAGTATTTTTGTGAAATTATTTTTAAAAATGATATTACCATATAATTATCATATTTTAAGAAATTTGGTATCAAATTTGGTAAAAGTACGAAGTTTTGGGAGTGTAATATAAGGAATTATTTTTCATAATAATATGATTAAAATACACTTTCAAAAATTTGACTACTTTATATATGGGTTTGTGTTTTCTAAGATGCTATTTAATTACTTGGTTGTAAATAAAAAATCATTAATTGAATAGAGAAGATCACCACATAAAGGAGGTGGGTCATAAATAAAAGAAATAATTTTAAATTTATAATCAAAATGATTTATTAATAATATTTTATGGAAACCTCAATAATTAGAAAACATCGTTGTATTGATATGTTTAGAAAACACATTAAGTTTTTCTTAGTATATCGATCGATTTTATTTCCTTTTTTATTGGAACAAATATTAAATTACTAATTAAATACACGGTATTATTTAGTATCTGCAGTGAGTACAAATATGAATAGTACTAATCAATAATAAGAAAATTTCATACTTGATAAAGCGGTTGTAAGCAGATGGCACTCTCTGTCTCTTCTCCGGGGCTGAAATGAAGGACAGACATAGAGACAAAGAAAACAGACATTTAAATCACACCTTGGCTGACTTGTATTTAGATCTCAACCCCACCCTAACCCCACCTACACAGACGCACACCCAAACATAATTCTCATTTCACACTTCTCCATCATTAAGCAATGATCAATCATTCTAGAGATGGATACATGGCTGGATAGAGCTCAAGATTCTATTACATCATATCTAGCTATATATCTATCTATGTATGTGGTTTGGTTTGGATATGATTCTCACATGATGATGATGATCCATTCCCACCATCATATCATTATCTTGATTCCCGGGGGATCTTGGTAGCCTACATCTTATTCAGGGTAATAAATAGAAGACACTACTCTCAATCCAACACACAATACAGTGAATTGAAAGTCCTCCATCCCCAAAGAGAAACAACCCAAACACACTTTACTACACTATTTCTCACCTTTTTCTACTTCTAGTTCCCTAATACAATTCACGAAAATGGTGGAGTATATGGTAACAAAATAAAAACAAAAACTTTCCCCACTCTGGCTTCCACATCCATTTCAGGGTTTCCCACAGTTTCTATATCCCACAATCTAAAGAAAGCTTGGAAAACAACACAAAAATGAGATAGAAACTCAAATAATGTTAATTTTCAATCAAGAAAATTTAAGATGCTGCAAAAAGATGACACATTTAGTTCAGGCAGACATAAATATTTCAATGTTTAGAGGTATTTATGAAAACTGTAAACAACATGTATTTATATTATTTTCAGATAGTTAAATGGGCTATAGAGAAACAAGACAGTGTATAGTATGTAGGACTGCTGGATATAATAATGTTGGCTAAAACATATGGAGTATATCACACTTCAGAGAAAGAAAATAGCATAGGCAGGCAATTAAGAGATAATAGAGGCAAATTAAAACATTAACTTTCAAGAAAACAGTAGCAATAGCTAGAGCTACTATACTTAAATGCATGTTACATTTTAAAAGGAAATTAAATGTTGATGGAATCCCAATTTCTTCTGTTGCTAGCCAGCAAAATACTGGGAGCTACTGTTAATCAGAAAGGCTAGTTTGACCTCTTCCATTAATTCATACGGGGTTGAGCCTTGTAGGGCTTTTCTTCCATCCACATGCCATAAAAACTCCATCATACTTTAATTATAGAACCTACTCTATACATATTATACTCATCGATCTACCAGATCAAGAACTTATACCCAAGATCTGACAAACAAACAAACCAACCCATGATTCTTTTCAAGTCAAGAAATGATGAGCAGCTAAAAAAACAATGTATATACATAGTTGATTCTTTTCAAGTCAAGAAATGATGAGCAGCTAGAAAAAACAATGTATATACATAGTTGATTCTTTTAAGTCAAGAACATACGTCTATTAGCCACAGGAGGCTTCGGCAGCTCATCGAATCCTCGGATGGGAAGCATCGACTCGTGCGGGTTCGGCTGATTCATCAAATTAAGACCCGGTGGGGTGTTACGAATCTCTTCCTACACATCACCACAATAACCACAAACAGTTAAAGATCAAATTTTTAAAAGAAACGTATATACTATCCCCTTCAATTTAAAGATAGTGCAGTCATACAACCGGCCCTCCCCCTTCACCATAAGGTTTCAAGAACCAAGATCCCTCCTCATGAATCATCATAAACACTTGAAACCCTAGTGGGTATCCATAAAAACCCTAAATTTAAAGATCTGCACTAGAATTGAAGTTGAAGGTCTATATATACATAGACGTACCAGGAGAGTTTGGGGAGAAAAGAAAGAATGGGGAAGGTGGAGCTGGTTCTGGGCGGGCTGGAGGAGGAGAGCACACATGTTGACGGAGAGAAGGTTGGTGCAGTGGCCGCAGCGGACCGCCACCGTCTTGAACAAGCTTGAGCAAGGAACACTCACCTTTGAATAATCATTAAAATCAATTATGCGTTGAAGTTCCACCGAAAAATTGTGAAGTATTAACATCATAGTATATCTAAAGTAAATGAAAGTTTATGGTATATCTAAAGTAATGGAAGATTATTAGGTTAGGGGTTTTTATATACCGCAAGGACAATCTCACAGTAGCTGCAACGGACGTAGCAAAGCTCCTCGCCGGAGGGGGAGAGATGGTGGTTGTGGTGGTGGTGGTCGGTGAGGAAATCGGAGGTGGTGGAGGAGGAGGAAGAAGACATGGTGGATTGGGTGGGTGAAGGAGATGATAATTAATATGGTGATGATGATGCCGGCCGGCCCGACCCTAAGCTCAGCTCTACTTTGAATTCCCTGATTTGATTGATTGATGGATTGACTGATCGAGGGACGGTAACAAAGCTTTATAGCAGCAGAAGCAGCAGCTAACTAAGGTCAGGTAAGGTGGGGGTGGGTGTGGGTGTGGGTGTGGGGTGTGCTTCTTAGCTTCAATTCCTTCTCTTGGGCTGCACAGACTATATAGCCAGCCATCACTTGGGAGTTGGGATCTAATCTTTATTGGAAAAAAAATCTTTTTTACTTCGTACGTTTATTACCGTAAAAAATCTTTTTTTACTTTTTAGCTATTCAATCCATATATGCGTATCTAGCTAGAAGTTACGGAGTATATAGTAAAAAGAAGGATTTATGGTTGGGTGTGATCGACCAGATGAAGACAATTAAGTACAAAAGGGATAAATGTGATGGAAAGATACCCATTACACTGACGTACTGGTTTAATAATGGATCAATGACACGATTGTGGTCTAACTTTTCCATTGATTTACCGGTTGAGTTATCCGTTCGCGTAATTAATCATGTTAATCAAGATGTACGTAAATGGTACTCGATCCGTATAAGATGAATACATATATGTTTAGTAAATGGTTATGATTTAAATGCGTGATAATTCCTAAAATATGATCAGACATGATTGTTTCTCAAAATATGTCGTCATATTTGAAAAAAATGATGACTCATATTTTGGAAAAGATGTAATGTTCTAGTCATATTCAATGTAATTTTATGATATATAACTACTTAGCTAGCTTATATCAAATATATTAATAAAGCACTAAAATTTGAGAGGTACCAAAGAAAGAAAGGAAGTTGAGGAAGCTAGAAATGTGATTTTTATAATCTAGTTATAATTATATTAAAGTTTTACTCGCCGTTATTATGTACAATTTTACACTTGTAAGAATGATGATTCACTCGTATTAACTTTGATCATCCATGAGATTATTTGAGAATAATTTTGATGATGTGGAAGATCTTTTTAGAAATTGTGGTTTAAGAGATTAGATTATTTTGAAAGATTATTTAAAAAAAATGATATCAAATATTGAATCATAGATTATTCAAGGATATTTCCACGTTTCAATAAACACATTTAATGCAACCTTATCTTTTAATTTGGAATCACTAAAAATACCTCCTTGAAAATAACAAAAAACTTCATAAACACTAAAGAAATAGAGATCATGATTGAGATGGAATCTATTAGCTTTAATTTGATTTATGTGGCAATGAAATGACAAGAGAAAAACATAAAAAAATCAAATATTTGAGAAACATTGATGGAGATGCTCTTAAGGTAAAACCCGTATATACATGGGGTGAATCCAGGACTGTGGACAATGCCCTCCCACTCCTCAAATGAAATTATACATTTAGATATGTGTGTTAAATGAAACTGGGGAATACTGATTCCGCGCCCCACTTTTTGGATGATGTTGGATTTTGTACCACATTTTGATTTTTTTTTAGTTTACACCTCATCATATAACATTTTATGGAGAAACATTTCTGAATAGGATTCAAAGTCAAAGGATTCTCAAGGAAAATGAGATGTAAAGTTAAAGTTTTATTTGGAAATGAGATAGAGTCCAATATCACCTAAAAATGGAACGTAAATCCAAAATTCTCCATTAAATTATAAGTGCCTTACAGATTATTAATTACAAGTGTAATACTCCGTAACTAATATTCCGTAGCTCCTTCGCCGGAGTGGAGGGGAGTTCAAACGTGTAGTAAGCCTTCTAAAATGCTAAGGGTTTGATTTCCAGTTCAGTTTTTTATTTTGTTTTACCTCTACCTTTTAAGTTCTAAACTAATTTAAAATAACTTTCTACAATTGCATTCAAATGTTTCCTTGTTTGAGCTATTTCAATATAATTACTGTATAATTTAATTTTCACATATAATTCGTGAAGTTTAACAATTACATTTATACGCTTAATATAGTTGTGGTATTTGACATTAACATCAGAGTATTTACTATCATTAACGACAATAACTTTCAGACATGGCAAAAACGTTTCCTATTTCAAAAATAAAAACTTAACATTCATATTCTAGAATTCCAAATCTTGTTTAGTTCTATTTAGGGCAATTTCAATTATACCACATTGGTCCTAAATTATTTTGCAAAGTCAACATTTTTTGTTCAATCAATGTTAAAGTTAAATCCTCTATATTGATAATTAATTCAATTTTAATAAATAAAATCTACATGTTTAAAAACTACATTAAAATCTCTATAAAGTTATAAAATCCAAATTAAAATTTAATTAAGAATTGAAGTCCTCGTTTTGTAATGTTTAATTATTCTAACTAGATGCTTAGTACCCGATTTTGTAACATATTAAATGATATTAAATACCAAACACACTAGTTAAAACAGTTATTAGATCATCTGAAGTGAATTCATAATATATATGTTTGTTGACATAAAATTACATTATTTATTTACTTTTTACTTTCTAAAAACAATTTATTTCACAAATAACAAACTTTACTTTTTTAACATTAATACAATTATAATATGCACCATATATGAATTAGAAATATAAAATTATTATTCTAAAAACAAATAATTTAAAACATACTATTTTAATATTAAGAAAACTCCCCATAACTCACACTACAAAAACACACCTCATTACCTACAGACAATTTCCCACCGTTTTATCTGTTGGAAATTTCCAACTGATTTCCGACTAGCTTTCCAACGGACTCCGTCGGAATTCTGTCTAAAAGTCGTTGGTAAATTTTGAGCTCTGGTACGGATATCATTGGTTGGAATTCCGTAGGAAAGTGATTGGAATTCGGTTGATAATCCGTCATATTTCAAGCAAATCCCATCCGTTGGTAAACACAGTTGATAGGCGGGCTTTTTTGGTGACGAACACAAATCTCATCCGTTAAGATAAATGCAAGTCCTAAACATATACCCCTTAAACCCTAAAGTGGTTGCGGCGGAGAACTATCGCTCAACGATGAAGTAGAGAACCAGTGTACATTGACAGCATAGCAAGGCTTCCAGGTCAATTATCATCTCCGTCTTTCTTCTATCTTTTCTTCTCCAGACACACAAATTAGACATTTTTATGTAGTTGATTCCTCCAGAGCGCCATACTACCTAAATTAGTTCTTTGATTTAACTCATTTATTAATTATATATACCTAAGAGCATGCTTTGATTTAATAGGATTTTGGAAGGACTAATTTAATTTTTAAGAATGGAACCAACGATTGATGCCTACAATTGAGCTTAATCTGGATATTACTTTGCTTCTGAAATCTTGTAATGGGATTAGTGAGAGGATATATTGTTATCATTTTATTGCAAGTGTTAGTGGGATTAGTGAGAGGATATTCTTATTGTTTCCCTTCTTTGTCAAAGAGCTTCGTAGCCATGCAGTTTGACACAAATTTGAAATGAAAAACATACTAAGTGCTTATACTTTTAAGGTGAAGTTTTAACAATTATTGCGATTATTGATGCCACTTTGAAGAATAAACATTCCTGACTGCGAAAGTTACATAGTGCATGTTGTTTGCTTAAACTTAAAGTGGGATAACAGAGTTCTAATTATTTGTGAAGTATAGATGTGGATGCTCCTATGCCTATAGAAATCTAACATGTTTCTTTCAGGTACATCATGTAGTTACAAAATAAAGTTTTTGTGATGAATTTTCCTCTTTAGTTGCCTTTCATCACATCATTGATAAGGTGAGTTTTTCTCACCGTTGGTGTATTGCTTTCACTTGTGGGGTTGTTATAGCATTGCCAGGTGTTCATTTTGATTGAAGAGTGTTTTGCATGAAGGCCGAAACGGCGAAACAGGAACGAACGAGAGGATCGGAAATGAAGGTGGACAATGAAGAATAATTTTGAGTTTAAGTTTTTATTTATTTGTGGTGTAATGAACAATCTACTTTAAGTCTTTAATTTGCCAAACTTTTGTACTACATTCACTTTATGTTTATTGACAATAGCGAATAGTGCTATTGTTTATGGTATGTTTTGAAATTTTCAAGTTGGATGGTATAATGTACTAGTACAATTTATTGATGGTGAATTTTTTGAATGGTATAGAAAAGTTGCATTGAACTAGAAACACGAATTTGAGAAATCAATTTTTTAAATGGCTCGTTTAGTTTCCGACCGATTAATCCGTTGGATACTCGTCGGTCATTGATATGATCTTGAGAAATCTGGTTGCTTATGTCCAACGGAATTGTTTGTTGGAAATTTCCGACAGATATATTTGTTGGAACTCTGGCGCAAAAAAAAAATCGGTTGGAAATGGCCGTTGGAAAAATTTCCAACCAGCGTATTCCAATGGCCAAGTTTTGTCGGTATTTCGTTGGAAATACCATTTCCGACGACTATTTCTTTAAATTTCGTTGGAAAGTCGGTCGGTATTGCACCATTTTTTTGTAGTGTCATGAACACCCCCTTCTTGGTAGACAAAAACTACAATTCAAAAACCAATTCTTTATTTTGATAAGATTCACGTGGATAAAAATGACATAAGTTAATTACAATTATTGGTGGACACATACGTTTTAAACTCTGTATCTTCAAATAATGTGAAAAAATGTTATATGGAGTTTTTCCTTAGATATTACTAACAAAAATGTCATGGAAAAAAATGTGACTTAGTAACTACGGAGTATTATACACTATAATTGTATATAAAGTTTACATCACAGTAATTTACATTTAGCTATTACGATATAATTTTTAACATGATTATTGTCACTAATAATTACTAAATAATATTTTTGTCCATCACATTTTAAAGACCATATTTATGGAATGTTTTCATGTTATATTTATGCAAACTTTGACTTCTTCATGCGAACTTTATCTATGCGGACGGGAAGAAGGAAGAGAAGACAAAAAGAAAAGAGAAAAGGAAAAGAGAAAATAGGGAAAAAAGGAAAAGAAAAAAACGCCACGCAGGATGCCACGCGGACTGTCAACCGGGAAACCGGATTTCCACCGGTTAAAAAGCTCGATTGAGCGATTTTTAGTAGTTCAGGGTTCTAATTGGGTGTTTTTTAGGTACGAGGGTCTAATCGACATATTCACTATAGTACGAGAGCCTATCTGATAGTTTTCCCAATATTTTTTATTTGATTTGCCATTTCTAAAGCTATAATGTATTAATACTTTCTTCTAGAGCACTTCAATTATAAAAT